GAAAAAAGGAACGTCTCTCTTCTCCTCGCCTGTCTCTGATGACAGCAGCTGCTTCTTAATGGTTCCGTCCTGCTGGGAAGCGACCTCCCTCTCCCGTGTCAGAAGCTGTTCCCCGAGAGTTTGTCTAAGTTCTTTATCTTTGCTGTTGATCTCTTCTTGCTGAGCAGAAGGAGTCATGTCCAGATCTATTCTAATCTGGTCAATTTGCCTCTTAAAATGGTTAATGATGTTCAGTTGGAATTCTTGAAGAAGTTCCTTAAGATAGTACGTCATGAGTTCCGATGGTGATTCTTCCCCTCCTTCCATGGCCGTAGTCATCAACAGGTTAATTGCTCCAATTCCCCAAGTGATTTATTGACTAATCCACACTTAAAGTCTTGTAATGGGGTGATTAAGAGTCACTTAGGTTAAGTTGTGTGGAGTTATTTAGAGTTCTAAGAAGCCAGTTTCTCTAGGGGGAGGGTTCAGAAGGGAGAAAGAAGAAAAGCAGTTGGTTTCGTTTCCGCACTGTGGCGTAGGTGGAGAAAACTTTGGTCTTCAAGGCATCAACAAGTTAATGCCGCTTGAGACCTCCTTCTCATCAGGTTACCAATAATAGATTTATACTTATTACTTGCTGTGGTTTAACAGTAGTCCATTTATCTTCATTCTGCAGTCAGATCATAAATCTCAATGCCTCCCCCTCTGAACAGCTAACTCAACATAAATGGCGACTTCATGAGACAGGTCGCATTGCAGGACAGGAACTCTCCCAAAAAACAGACTGCCATCTGCGATTTGGTGGTTCTGAAGCCCCCACTTGCAAACAAGCCCCACTCTCCCGTGGGAACTCATCCCCTCCTTCTCCGGGGGGGTCCTTTGTCTCGGAGTAAACCCAGGAGAATCCAGAGCTCTGGAATTCCCGTTTTCGTTGCTCGTGGCTCCTCCCCTCTCCCCCTGCATAATTTTATACATCTCAATCATGTCCCCCCTCAGGTGTTATTTCTGTAGACTAAAGAGCCCCAAACGCTGTAGCCTTTCCTCATAAGGGAGGTGCCCCAGCCCAGTCGTCATTTTAGTCACTCTTTTCCAATTCCACAATGTATTTTTTGAGGTGCAGTGACCAGAACTGTACGCAATACTCCAGGTGTGGCCTTACCAGCATTTTATATAATGAAACCCCACAAGGGGAAGGTTTTTGAGTAATGTTTGACCAGGTTGAATAGCAGTAGCCTCTGCTAAGAGCACCAGAAAGAACTGGTTAACAGAGCAAAATTATATTACATCTGATGTTTTCTGTTGGTTTTCTCCATTTGCTTTGTTCATTTCATACAGTGAGTTCTAAATTTTGTTCCTCTTACATTAAGTTGTTCTGTAAAAACAGTTCCCGCTGCCCCAAGCATTTATATCTCTGCATCCCTGTATTTGAAGAAGCAGAGAAATTCCCTTAAGGGAAAGAAGAAGAAAAAAACCCACTAAGTTTAAAGCAAAAAAATGGTGGTTGAAGCTCTATTCACAAAGGCAAAACAATTCAGACCACAGATCATCCCCTCCCCCAATCTTCATTCAAAGCATGAGCACACTGGCGTACTCTTTTTGTACCGTAATTTATACTCCAAGTGAGTTCCTTTTTTATTCCTGAAAGGAAAAATAGAAATAAAAACCTCTGATTAGATATGGCTTGGCCTTTTAAACACAACATGACTTCATTCCCCTATAAATATTCTTGTTCAGCTGATCCAGCCAGGACTGTAATTGTGGATAAGACTGGGATGCAAAATGTCCCTTTGTAGATGCTGACATTATCAAAGCCTTTGTTTTATTCCAGCTCTTCTACACCAGTAGTATCTGCTGTTTAAAAAGTGAGATGGCTTGTGAGTTTATGTGGCATATATCCGGAGTGGAAATGAAGGTCCAAAAAAAATGGATTAGTGTGCTCATGTTTTGAGCAAGAATGGAGATGGACTTTTATATAAATTTCCTTACTTTTAAGGGCATCAACTGTAAATTGTGCTTAAACCAAGTATCCTTTCTACTTTGGAAATACAATGATAGAGTGACATTCATATGGCTGGCAGGCAGGCAGGCAAGGTAGGCATGCATGCATCATTTTTGGTAATATTTGTCTTTTTCTCATACAATTGGAAAATGATAATGAGCATTCACAAAAAGCTAGAATTGGTGGGAACAGAGCAATTCTTGTTTTGGTTTCTTAAGCAAGAAATGTAACCACTGTCTTGACAGTTGCTCCAAAACAAATGGAACTCAATTTCCTGATAGGTTTTAATTCTCATATGTTTCAATAACTAGAGCCCTGTTTAAAAGTCCTCTGTTGAATATTGGCACTATTCAGGTGAACAGTGGAACATTAGGGGATGTCAGAACATTTCAGAATGTTGCCATTTTTGATGTTAGCATTGATATGTTCATTCTTTTGCATCAGGACTATAGTGTATATCACTTCAGGAGATGTGCAAGTGAATGAAACTACCTCTGGCTTTATTATGTCTTGTAACAGTGCTGGGATGCTTATGCAGATATAGTGATAAAGGTCTTATATCCGTTTGTTACAGGGTCTAGTCCGGAGGTCTTGAAGGTGGGTGGTTCCTCTATTAGCGGTTTGGGTGATTCCCTCTCCTTTGGGGGGATGACCCTTGCCGCAAAGAGCGAAGTCTGCAGCTTGGGGATACATCTGGACCCGGCACTAACAACGGAAACCCAGGTGGCATCCGTGGCCCGCTCCGCCTACTTCCATCTATGGCGGATTGCCCAGCTGCGACTGTATCTTGATGGGGGAGCCCTCACTACTCTAGTCCATGCGCTCGTAATCTTGAAGTTAGACCACTGTAATGCTCTCTACGTGGGGCTGCCTTAGAGATTGATGTGGAAACTTCAAATGGTTCAGAATGTGACAACCAGGCTCTTTAGTGGGGTGAGGAAATGTCAGCATATCTCCACCACTCTGGCTGCTCTGCATTGGCTGCCCATTTGTTTCCGCATTGACTTCAAAGTGCTAATGATGACGTATAAAGCCCTAAACGGTTTGGGACCTCAATACTTGGCAGAGCATCTTCTCCCACCTAGTTCTGCCCGAATCACCCGACAAAGCCAGCAGGGACGGCTGAGGGGCCTAACACCTCGGCTATGGAACAGCCTCCCGACAGAAATTCATCTTGCACCCTCGCTGGGTGTTTTTAAAAGCCATATAAAAACTTGGCTTCTTAGGCAGGCCTTCCCTCCAGTCAATTAATCTGATCTTTACTTTTTTTTTTAATCACTCCATCTTGGCAAGGATTTATATAACTGTTAAAAATTTTAAGTTTTAAATATTTTTAGGATGTTGTTTCTGCTATGTTTTTATTATGTATGTAAGCCGCCCTGAGTAGACTCTGTTTAGGGGGGGCGGGGTAAAAATCCAATAAAAGTAAAAGTAAAGTAAAAAGTGCCTATGCCACTGTTTCGTGGCCCATTGCTGATGAGTAGCTGTTTTGTATTCGAAGAATATCTGCAAGCATGTACAAGTGTACCACTCAAGAAACGCCATTGTTTATAACTCTTCTCTGTACCTACATGTATGCATGGACATACAAGCATTTGAAACCAATACACAAAAGCTTATACCATTATAAATGTGTTAGTCTTTTAAGGTGCCACAGCTCCTCCTCAAGGTTCCCAATAAAGCTGTTCCTCAAGGTTCCTAGATAGAGTTGACAATTGAATCAACAGCCCTTTCAACCTTAGCTGAATTGTGAAGAGATGTTCTTCTTTAGTAATGTATTAACTGTGCTCCATAGTTGATACTCATGGTTTTCAGAAACCCCTCAAATGAAAAAGGCAGGTTGACCCCATGCCTAAGTCAATCAGTAATTTAGTTTTGAGAAAAGGTAATATCCTATACCAGACAGTGATACGATGCATTTCACTAACATATGCAACATACTTTTCCTCTCCCTCCTCTTGCTTTTCAACTTTGTCATACATCTAGGACTGAGAGCTTCTGAGTTACAACTTCCAGGTTCTTTTTGCAGAAAGCCTGAAACACAGTTCTGTGCCACACAACGCACTGGAAAGGGAACAAAAGCTGGTCCTCTAAACATCAGTTCATGCCTGGCCTGTTGTACTTTCCTGTATATAGCTAGTGCCCTTCAGCAGTACCATACAGCTTTTATTACCTGCAGCAGGACTATGTTTGAAGATAATAGGATTTCACAAGAGGCAGAACAAGAAAAGACCAGACTAGTCTCAATGAATGGGTATTTAAGAAGTCAAGTTTTATGTTTGCCTAGAGGCCAAAATTTCTCTCGCTTCTAACTGCAAATAAATGATGGGGCTAGGAAGGAGGAAGATAAATATTCTCCATATATACCAAGAGGAACATCTCTTTTTTATCTTGCTTTTTAACACTGAACCTAGTTAGCATTTACAATATATTCTGAGGCTGAGCTTCAAACATGTTTTATAATTTTCTTGATTCCAACAATTAATCACCTTTACTGGGCATAGAAATATTTTCATTATGTTGGCTTGCAGCTTAAAAATATGGCTACATAGTGTCAATAAATGAAGCTGAAAGATAAAACATTTGCTTTTACAAGAAAAAAAATTCTTTTTGTGGAAATATAATAATTGCATGATGTCAAGTCATTTCCCATTTATGGCCACGCCTTACAGGTTTTTCTAGTTAGAGAATTCTCAAAAGTAGTTTACCCTTCTCTTCTTCTGGTGTCACTTCCGGGACTATGCAGCTTGCCCATGGCTGCACAGGTCTGCTGGTCTCTCAGGAGCACAGTGAGAAACTGAAATTCAAATTTCTGCTCCATAGCCAGATATATAAACTACTAAATTCCTTCAGCCAGCTATGTGGAAATAAAGCTAAATATAATTTGAAAGTATATTTGTGGATTTGTGGTCATCATGCAAATTTTTTCTACCATGCTACATATTTTATTCTTTAGTTTAGAATGTACCACATCTTCCACCAAAATATGTTTTTTCTCCAAGGATGAGCAGCAATTCTGCCAATTACCCAACTGGTTTTAATATGTGGATCAAAACCACCTTATCCTAAGCAGTGAATATTCATTTAAGGCACCACACTAGAAAAAAAAATCCAAATGCCATTTGTTTGTTTGTTTGTTTTTTATTAGATTTCTATCTAATAGTCTACTTGGGGCGGGTATAGCAATCCTATCCCGCCCTTTTAGACAAAGTCTACTTGGGGCGGGTATAGCAATCATAGTCTTTTCTAATGCATCATACCTACAACCTTGTGATAGTTGTGTGACACTGTAGGAAAAGGTTAACTAAATCTGGCCATTCTGAACTCCTTGGAATGCCTAACATTTTGATTTTTCTGGCACCTTGATTTTATGAAATATGCTAGAATCAGCCCAGGGGGTGGGGGGGGAAGACAAGAAATAAATTCTGGAATTTATAATGACCATTTGAGCCTTTACTGCTTTTTTGAACAATATTTTACTGTATGTGTTTAAGAGTGATGCTGTTTCATGAAGAGAAGTATTCTAAGTGATTTATTTCCTTCATTTTCACAGATTCAACCAATTCTGGCAACACTGGCTAAGAACTGTCAAGAGGGCTCCAAAGAAGAGAACTGTTTTTGGCAATCTGACAACCGTTTTCTACATTCTTCCACTTTAACCCTCTTTCTTCTCCCCAGGCCATAATGAGTATGTACAGCATATTCAGTGTCACCATTTAAATCCAAAGCCTTCTAAGGGTCTGGGGCTGATATGGTTGTTTGTCTGGTTTGGTTCTTCTGTTGTTTTTAAATTACAATACTGCTTAACAAACTTTTTGAAACAACATGGCTTATTAACCGCAACGTGCAGAGTGTAAATGCTTAATCTCTCTTACTGACCGGCTTCTGGCTACTTAATCAAAATGTAAATGATGTCCTGGCTTTGTATTTGTACATTACTGACCTTTGGCAGTTATTTGAAATGGCATATTAGATATCCACTTTTCTTCCACAATTAATCTTCCCCTTTTACAGATTTGCACTTCGGAGCAAGCGGTGAGGGGCCTTAATGATCAAGAAGCATTTTGTTCATTATGTTAAATTGTATACTGAGTATTGACAAAGGACATTCTGTAGTACACAGATGTAAATATATTGATGTACTGTTGTAAGATTACCTTTATAACATTACTTCTCTATAAATGGCACAAATGCTGCGGCAAAAATACTATTGGGTTTGCTTTTCACATACCTCTTCCTTTTAAAAAATGAGTATGCTGTAATTGATGAAATTATGTTAATAACAGTATTATAGTTACTGCTTAGGTTACATAATAGTGAAGATCAGTCAGGGTATCCATCTTCTATGAGAGCTTTTGGTATATAAGTTTTTACCATTTATTTTAAGGAGAGTCTAAACGAATTTATCCCTGCTCCTACTTTATTATTCATCTGATGTTGAGTGCCATTTCTCTGGGCAGGGACTGTCTTAGTCTTATGTTGTGTATATCACCACACTGGTGATTGCACATTAACGTTAAATAGCAAGTGCAGCTCAAAGAAGCCAGCCGCCGCCACCACTCGAAAAGCTATGGCACTGAAAGCTGGTTTTTGGCCATTTTCATTAACTCTGCAGTGGTAATTTGAAAGACAGTGTGGATGTACAGTACTGTTTATGCTGCATTTGTTACTGTCAACTGTGAAAAGCTAGAGAAAGATTTAGAAAATGTTATATAGCTCATGCTTGAGAATAGTTGATTTGTACACGGAGAAGGGCAATTTTGAAGCTGTGAACTGCTTCAAAGTGATGCAATTACTTTCCCAAATAAGGTTCCGGAGAATTCTAGAGCTCCCATATACTTCTGACAAGTCTCTTGTAACACACACCTTCAAGTTTATTAAAATTGTATGTGTGTGTTCTTAAGGAAGAAAATTCCTTTCTAGATTAATAGTAAACAGTGAAGACCTTCACTCACCAAAAGTGTATTCTGAAGTATAGTCCAGAAAACAGCCTTTCTCAATCTCTGTGGAATAATAACATGTTGACAGTGCAAACAGAGTTAAGTTCAATTTCCTGTTCTTGATTATTGAGATCTCACTCTCTTCTTGTCTCAAGATATGCTAATTAGAGTTGGAACATTTAGAATTTCTCATGTTATTGCAACTCAGTGGCTTATAATGGTATTTAAATTCCCATTTTGATTTAGTGCTCCAGGATTATCTTTCCTGACTTAATTCTTCTGAGTCAGATGAAGCAAGCAAGGCTGCAGGACACCCGAGCTTAATCCAGCCTCATAAAGGAAATTCTAGTGTATTTGCTCACCTATATAAATTACTCAACTTGATCTAAGTGGTGGGTTGGGTTATCTATGTGGTTCAAAGGAAGCATTGTTAGATGCCTCAGTCAAGGATTGACTGGTAGGCTAGAAAAGCACCTATGATCACAGCTGGTTGGGAGAAAATTCAGTTGCAAAATTCATCTAAGTCCAGAAAGAGATGCTAAATAGTTTTTCCACAATTTGCATTGTTTTACATATTGTCTAACTCAAAAGCCTGCAAGATCTGTGGTTTTGAAATGCATTTGAAGTTCAAGCATACCCTTGAGTATTAAATACTCAAGTTTACCAAAAGTTGCATATTTCCAACATCAGTTAATATGAAGAGCTGCAGTTTGATAGTAAATTCTGAGAAAACAAAAAGGGGCAACTTTGTTTTGACTTCTTATGACCATTGAAAACAGTGGGGAAAGAATCAGAATCTGATTTTGCCGAGAATTGATGGGAAGTGAAGCTTTATTTAAAAGATGTAAAAAGCTTATTTTTTTTAAAAAAAAGCATTTGTAACTTATTTTATGTTGCCAGTTTCTTTTCCCGTCCCCCTTCACATTCTTCATACTGGTGATAGGAAATATTTGAAACATTTTCCAGTAATTCCAAGCAAACAATTACATGACAAAGGTGCCTATTTCTCCCCCCCCTTTATTCACTGAGAATTGTCTAGTTGTGTTTAGTTTACCTAGAAAGCCAAAGAGAAGTAGAAGAGGTAAATAAAATTGCACAAGCTACCAAGGGGTGACTATGGTGTTGTCATTATTGATAAAGCAACTGAGGGAACAATTGTGGTCTGTACAGCTGGGAGAACGAAGAGGCTGGTAATTTACAGCCTTCCATCCTTTCAACTCCGCTGTTGCATTTAATTCCTGAACATCCTTTGGCCACACCTGCCTACCTTTTTGGCAGGAGATGTTTCCACAAAAGTTCCCCAATCAAAATGTTGAAGGAGTACTTTTACAGTACACCAGCATCTTTGGGTATGAATTTTTAATTTCAGAGAATATCCATTTTAGTGAACATTTGTGTTTAGTTTGCATGCCTAAACCATTTCCATAACTTTTTCACATGAGAGTCATCCCCCCCCCCCGAGAGGGTTACAAAGAATGAGTGCTCTGTTTCTAAATGAGCAACCACTCCAGCTTAAGTCTTACAACGTGTGCCTTTACACTTAGACATGTGAAGGTTCCTGGTAGCTCCTCATTGGTGAGGTGAAGACACACCGCATAGTTTCAAAGGCATTTTTCCCCTTTATCCACCTTCTGACAGAGCTGTAGTATGGAAAGGAGTCCAGGGCTAAGGGTTCGTTCAAACTGGAAGGAGCAAAATTAGTAGGTGAGCAAATGAGCCATAATTTAGTGTGCATGAAGATACTGGTCTGAGTCAAATAGCATATATAAAAAACAAGCAGCAGTCACAAAGAAGCAGCAAAGGAACTGGGAAACTTAAGATTGTCTGAAATTCTTATGGACTAGCATGTCATTTTTCAGGCACCTAAACATTAATGCACAAAAGTAAACATATTATAAACACTTAATATCCAGCTTAAGTGAAAATCACCAGATTTTTTTTTCTTACACAGTAATTCCCATAACTATTTGAGTAGCAAAAAACAGCTATTCCTTCTCTATTTCATTGTCAGAGCTGCCACCCAAAGTTACATGAACCAAAGGAGGTTATCTTTGTTGCACCTTTCTTACACAAAAGGATGCTGTGCTTGGCTGGCAATCTCTCCCTGGCTCTTAGCACTGAGTGTGCAAACCTATGTTGCCCAGCAAAATGGTATGCTATTCTGTAAGAGTTTAATGTCTTACTGCATTTCTTCAAAAAGTTACAAGCAGAATATATATTGGAGAGGGGGGTGGTTCTGGAACATGCCCAATCTCTGGACTCTACTGCATCTATTCACAGACACAAAATACCTCCCAAAAGGAGGACAACTTCGATATTATGTACAGTGAAAGTTACCAGAAAACATATTACCTACATCTCTCAGCCAGCAAGGGAATAACAAACAAAATGAAAATTAAGGAAAGCACCAATATACCAGTTTTCCAACCCAGACATACAAATGTTCTGAGGGCCTTTCTGCAATGTGTTTCTGGGCACCAAATGTGTATTTATTTCCCTTTTCTTGTGGACTGTACCTTTCAGGACAATGCTGCTGCTGCAAACACAATGCATTCTTTTAAATGCATAAACCACATCATTTTGTTCCTAGAAGAGGCTAGAGGACAACCCTCAAGTACCAAGAGCTCATTATCACTGTTCCTGTGACTACGTGGAATGTAGCTATGGTACTGTTTGTTTTGTAATAAGGAGTGACACAACTATATACAGTGGTGCCTCGCAAGACGATTTTTATTCGTTCTGCGAAAATTGTCATCTTGTGAAAAAATCATCTTGCGAGGTTCCCTATACATCGGTCTATCGGTCTCAAAAACAAAGTCTTGTGAAGCACGGTCATAGAAAAAAAGCATCTTGTGAGGTACCATAGTGATCGCAAAACCAATCGTCTTGCGGGTTTTTTGTCCCGCGAGGCAATCTAGCGAGGCACCACTGTACAATACTCTAGCCACTTTGTGAACGTCCCCTCCCCCTGTTGTCTGAAGAGCAGTAGTTAGTGATGGTTAAATCTTTGGAGACTGTGTTGCTTCATACGAGATTTGCAAGAAACTCCCCATTTAGTCAGATTTATTATAAAAAAGAGACAAACACCTCTATTCCAATCTTCCCTGCCCACAAACACATGCCTATTATCTGTTTCTGTCCTTGAAATGTCACTTACAGCTATGGAAGTGCTTATGAAACCACTTCCATCTTTTTGCAGAAAGGCCCTCGGTGGCCACAGAGTTGAACAGCAGAATTGGTTGCTATGGTACTGGCATGACTGGAGAAGTAAATGTTCTTCAGGTATCTCAGCACCAGAGGAGTAAGGTTGAAGTACCATACACAGAAATTCAAGGCCCTTTCACTCTTTTTAATAATCCACACAGCTCCAAGAAGAAATGCAGTGTAACAAAGACATGTTGTTGCCAAGAAAGCAGTGAGAAAATTCTGCAAGGCCCTTCCCTATGTTGCTGTTACAAGCAGGAAGAAGCAATGCTTTGCACTTTCAGCTTCTAAGGAGATGTGGATACTGATGTGTTGGTACCCCCCCAAAACCCAGAGAATAGCAAATGAGATTATCTCCTTTCTCCACATCTCCTTAGTGGTTCTGTATCCTCTCCCCCCCCCCAATGCAAAGATTCAGCTGTTGCCCTCTGCTGTCCTCAGGGGCTTGCTTTTGAGATAGCACATATGATCGGTACTCATGCCCCGCCCTTCCCTGATCACCCTCCCCACCCCACCCCCAATGATTGCCAGTTCCACCATTAGTCTTGCTGTTCATTCAGCTCCATATCAGACACCAGGATGTTCTTCTCAGCAGTTTCACTTGGGCTGGAGTTGGTGCGGCTGTAACGGGCACTCTCAAATGTCCCTCGCTCTGAGCTCCAACGGCGTTTGTAGAGATAGATGGCAATTGCTACCAATGCACATAGTGCTAAGGAGGAGAGGATGACAACAGCAATGGCCTTCGTGTTCTCCGTGAAAGCTGCAGAAGAAGAGGAAGGATCAGGAGGAAAAGCTGCCATTGTGGAAGGATAAAGTTCACAGAAGAGCGAGTGAGATCTGTTTGTGTATGAAATTAGCAGGACTATCTACAGTATGGAAAGAAGTGTGGGGACTTATGAGACACAGAAGTGAGAAAACTCCTAAAATACAGGTTTTAAAAGGAGCAAGTTTCACTGAGGTGAGGAGACCTTATTGCCACCAAGGCAACATTTACACTGTCTTATGCTAAAAATATGTACACTGTGTACACACAAAAAGAAAAAAAGCAAATTCCGTATCTGACACATAGTCAGATGAGCTATGCTCAGTTTCCAAATTAATTCTTCATCACTATCTGAGATAAATTATGAAATATGGCTGGACTAGTCGCAACTAGCTGGCTGGATAGCTCGGTGGTTTAGGTTATCTGCTGCCAGAAGCTGGGAGTTTGATTCTCCACTGTGCTTCCTGTGAGCAGAGCCAGCCTGTGTGGTCTTGAGTAAGTTGCGCAGCCCCAGGATGCTCCTAGAAGAAGAGAGTGGGAAAAGGCTCCTGTGTATTCTCTATCAAGAAAACCCTGGAAAGGGCAGCCATAAGTCAGAGCTAACTTCACAGCATGAAAAAGATTCCCAGTGTTATGTCGTGGATAAAGTGACATACTAGGACTCTGAAGACTAGAGGTTGAACCCTGCTCGGCCATGGAAGTTCACTGGGGGAAAGTAACTGGTAAAACCATTCCTTAAATATCTCACTTACCTTAAAAACCCTGTTAGGATTGCTATAATTCAGCATCAACGTGACGGCACAGAACAACAGCTGCAACTGGTTGCTACCAGAAGCTCTTCTTGTCTGACTGTCCTAACAGTTCAGTAGCATCTGATAATCTATTTCAAGTTTTATTTTTGTGCCCATATGCATCTAGTAACTCAGACGGGGTTATATATATGAAGACTCACAGAATACTGAATTCTGTTCAAGACACCAGATTTTATGCATGTGAGCTACAATATGCAGCAGGAATGGGTGATCTCTGTAGGGCTGTGGACCATTCTTCAGATTTGTCAGCAGTCTAAGAATTAGGGCTACAGGGAAGGCCCATTTGCATATTTCATTTCATTTCATTTCATTTTTTAAATAGTTTAAAATGCACTGGACATTTGCTGTCAGTTTACCACAGTGGGTTTCTTTTAACTGAAAAAATGGGCATTAAAATGTTTTTAAGGAGGCTTTTCTAGTTTTTTTAATAAGAACGTTTTTAAAAAACTGAAAAAGGCCTCTAAGGCACTTTAAAAAAAATCCGTATGCTGCAGGGCCTAAAAATATGGCAAAATTGTCCACCATCACCCTGGTACAAGGAGGCAGTTATAACTCCCCAGACAAACAAATTCTGGGGATATGGGTGGCCAGGGGGCTACAGCGTTGCCAGAGGGTGCTTATGGTCCTCGTGGGCCACATATTGCCCACCCCTGCTTTGTAGCTTCTGCCCCTACTTCCATTTGCTTGTAAAGTTGCCCCCCACTCCAACGTTACAAGCAAAAAGATAAACAGCTGCAGGAGGCAGCCAAAAGCCTCACCTTTTGCTAATTCTTATTTATTTATTTATTATTTATATCCTGCCTATCTGGTCGGTTAAGACCACTCTAGGCAGCTAATGGTCTCAGCAGGCTGTCCCTCCATTAGCAAATGATGCTCTGCAGGTGCTTTTCCGACAGGATATCAAGTTGCTTGATTACAAGCACAATCCCCTTGTTGGCAAGGGCCAACAGAGTATAAATTTGCTACCCATGCAGTTGCCAGCTGGGACCCTTCAGTCTGTATCAGTACCCTCTCTCATTGACTGCCCTACTCCAGGGCTGCAACTATACACAATGGGGGAAACTGCCTGGAAAGCAAAACAACTTTCATCACTTCACATGACACAAGTCTTACTGCAGTTTAAAACAATGCCCAACATGCACTATTTTGAAATGCATTAGGCTTCCCCCCTAGTCAGCCAGGCTTGTTGTCTAGTGGGCAGTTTGGTGGCAGTAGCCCGTAGTGTGTTAGCAGCGGTCCTGTTGGTGGTGTCTTCACTGGCCAGTGCGACACACTCCATAGCTGCTGCCACCATCTAGCAGTCCTCTGAGCAGGAGAGCTCCTCTAGAGGGCGGATGGATGATGCTGGTGGTGGTGGTGGTGGTGACATCCCCAATGGCTAAGGAGACACACACACACCCTTGCTGCCATTGCTGATGCCAACATATTCCTTGGTTGTTGACATCCCCAATGGCTAAGGAGACACACATGCAACCTTTGCTGCCATTGCTGATGCCAACATGTTCCTTGGCTGTCACCACTACAACCAAATCATGTGGAATACTCATAAAATAGATGTGTGTTTCAAGCAGTTTCATTCCAGTTTGCAGATAACATGCAGTAAAAAGCTGGTTGCAGACATGTAGTTCCTGATAAGGCTGAGGCATTTTCCTCATATCAGACTGTTGGGGGGGGGGAGTAGCTGATAGTAGCGGGAAGAATGCTTTACAAGCAGAACTGTGGAGGAGCTGAGTGAGGCAGACTCTTCCCACCCAAGGTAATTCAAGGGGAAGGGCTAAATCCGGCAGGCGGGCCTGCTCTGAATTCTTGTCACATTCATTAATACAGACAACAGAATGCCATGGATTTACAACCAGATTAATGGACTGTGAATTCATCTGGTGTCAAAGAGCAAAGCAGAGCTGGGCCACTGGGAAGAAGGGTACACAATTTCCAGTTGATGCCATACCTGATCTGGAGATGCTGCTTTCTTCAACTGTAACGGAAAAAAGAAGCCAAGAAGGGGGGGGAGGGAAGAGAAAGCGAATTACTTACCAATTTCCAATATCATTTGACCTGTTGCTAAAGAAAAAGAGTCATCCAATGCAAGCCATTTCATCCTGACCCCCCCCACACACACACCCAACTGTTGCATTTTTTGGCTTCTGTTATAATCCAGGTATCTCTCTTTCCAGCCCAACCAGACTTATCTATAATGCAATCAAACCCCTATTTACAAAAATACTATTGTTTTTCATTCCCCCCCATTTAATACTAACATATCAGAGTGGTATCTGTCACTGGGAGCTCACTTAGGGGGCAAAGAGATTCTGCAGAACTTTCAGGTTTTGTCACACTGTGTAAGAATGCAGAAGATAAGGGTGACTTGTAAACTACTTCCCACTTTTTCTGAAAATTTACAATCCAACCATTTTGCCTGACTGGAGACTTCTAAAGAAGAAGCTGGTAAGCTTTGCACCTTTCCACGGCAACCTCAGTTGGGCCCAGCAGAAATGTTTATTCTACCTCCTTCGGGGCTACCACACAGTAGCCATTATTTATGTCAAATAAGATGCAACAGTATAATTCACATCCAAACCTTAGAGAAGTTTGGATAACTCCTAGAAACGTTCAATCAGCATGACCACTGGATGTACAGGCTGGGGGATTTGAAAAGATATAGTCCCTTTTCTTAGTTGTATCCATATCTACCACTGACATTTCAGCCATTCACCCACCAGACTAAATTTCCAGAGAGTCCCAAAGTTACTGTGTGCCACTGGTCAAGATACTCTCTTTTAACTATTGAATCTACCTGACAAATTGCTGTGGGAGTAAAACAAAATCATTGTATCTTTTTAAAAAAATGTAGAACTTCATGAGGTTGTGCTCTCATTTTGTTCGATGAAATGTGACCATTGCAGGGAAGAATAAACCTCTGCCCTCTCTTTAGTATGACGGACTTTAAGCTACCTCCTTACCTCGGGCTGTTTTACAAATCACCCCCATTGTGATATTGGAGCACGAGCCGAGGTGCCACACTCCACTGTCGCTCTGGATCCAGTAGCAGCTATTTTGGCTGAGCATCCTTGGCCCGGTGTCATGCTGCCCCCAGTTAGAATAGTTCACAGCCATGTTGTCATGCCAGACAAGTGTCCCTCCTGAAAAGAAGGGGAGAGTCGTGCTGTGTGTGAGTAAGAAGCTAAGCAAAAGGGTGCCTCCCCATAATGTTCCCTGCTAGGCCCACAAAGGAAATAAGGACAAGAAAGAAAGGAAAAACACTTCTCTTTCTCACATGCTGCTAACAATCAAGTTGCAAGGATGCCAGTGTTTTCTGGTGTGAAGGAGTGTTCAAGATAATAAAACAGTTTCTCAAACAATGAGGTGCAATGGAGGACAAAACAATAAAACCTTATTAGCCACAGGGCTATAAAGTAATGATGGTTGTGGACTGCTCACTATGGAGGTTGCAACCCATGGGTACTGATGTGTTATGTATGGTCACAAATTGCCTGATTTACTCTAAATAAAGAACTAAATAAAGAACCATAGAGGGAAGAAAGCTAGGGACTAGATTGACATGGAAGAAAATATATAGGCAAATGGAAGCGAAGCTAGATAGGCACGTCCAATATAATTTCTAGGTGGGATGGGGACAGAAGATGCAGCAAAATGAGACGGGAAGGCACACGTTCATAATGTTAAAGCAACACAATGCAAATGGGTATTACTATCATTTTCTTCTTTAGAATTTTGTTGTTCTAAATAAAAGCTTATGCACCATGCTGATTGTGGCGTTCACCCAGGTCATGATTATTCATATGCTATTTGCATAGACCAATGGGAGTGCTGGAGGGGCAGAGTCACAAGCTATAAGAGACTCGGGAGGAGGAGAAGGAGTTTGGATAGACATAGATAAGGTTTAGATAGGGTTTTGAGATGAAGAATTAGAGTGTTAGAGAGTTGAGAGAATTTTGGAGTTTGGGTGGGAAAATGGTGGTTGGGGGTGGATAAAGAAGAATGCTGGTTATGGGATTAATCGGTTTTCAATGCATTGTAGGTCAATGGAGATTCGACCTACAGACTTTTCGACTTGCAGCCACCATTCCAATACGGATTAATTCCTTAAGTAGAGGGTCCACTGTAATAGACTCAGGAGGAGGAGGACGAGTTTGGATAGACATAGATAAGGTTTAGATAGAGTTTTGAGATGAAGAATCAGAGAGTTGAGAGAACTTTGGAGTTTGGGTGGGAGAATGGTGGTTGGGGGTGGATAAAGAAGAATGTTTGTTTAAGAGTTAACAACATTGCTGCTTCTGTCAACACCTGTATCAATAAACAATTTTTATTTGGTTCTTTTAAAATGACATATGGCCTGTACATCTATCATTAATAATTGTTATTGCTGATGAAATAAACTAATGGCAGCTGAGGGGCATGTGAGCTCCTTGGTTGGTGAAACAATCAGGGGCCACGTGGAATTGTGACACTGATAAAATAACTCTTCTGCTCATACTGTTCTCTAGGTCTGCCAGGTAGATTTACTGTGAATGTGCAGAGATGGTCTATATATTTATAAAATATTGTATTGCACCTTTTGGCTCTATCTAGGAGCATGAGAGTTAGCTACATTTTAAACAAAATGCATGCTATTTGAGTTGTAATGAACAGACTTATTAAGACAGAGTATAACTCTCCCCCATAAAGAACCATTAAAAATACTGCCCAAACAGTCCAATAATTTTTTGCTAGTTGGCTCAACTTAGAACAGGCTACTCAAGTTTTTTAGCACATATGGCGGAGTTCAAATTTTCTCTGGATACTTTATCAACATCCCAAACTCAGTGTCTCCAACACCAAACATTTCATCTTTCTTGCCAACCCTCCTCTCCTCATACACTTGGTTTACCTATTGGGAATGACAGTATCTTCACCACTGAATAGGCATAGTCTTATAATTTGATTCTGTAGCTTATTTAATCCTCCTCTAAGTGCATATACAGTGGTGCCTCGCTTAACGAGCGCACCGTATAACGATGAAATCGCATAGCGATCCGTTTTTTTGGATCACTAATGCGATCGCTCAACGAGCTTCAGATAGGGAGAATTTCGCTTTGCGAAGATCGGTAAGCGTTTCGCTTACCGATCTTCGCAAAACGAAGCTCCGACGATCAGCTGTTTGGCAGACAAAATGCCCGCCGGAAGCCTCAAAATGGCCGCGTGCAGCATTTTCGCGCCCTCCCCTCGCTTAACGAGGGCGCGAAAATGGCTGCCGGCCATAGGAAACCTCGCTGAACGGTGAGTAGAGGAGCCTTTTGGAACACATTAAACGATGTTTAATGCGTTCCAATGGCTTTCCCTGCCCCGTTCAGCGATGTTTCGCTATAGCGAAGGTTAATCCGGAACGGATTAACCTCGCTATGCGAGGCACCACTGTAGTTACCATGGGTACTGGGGAGTATGTTGACCCTATCCCCTACATTTCCAGTTTTAGTGCTCCCTAATTTGCATAGGTAGATGCATCGTGATAGTCTCCACTCCCTGTGGAAGCTCTTTACATTAACTGAGACCTTGATTTTTCAGATTTCTTACTCACAGGAACAGCCCTCATGGATAACGGAGAGTCTCTCTCTCTCTCTTCAATCACATTGCTTGCCTCTTGTAGGAGGGTGGCAAAAATACAGGATATGGGGCTAATATCTTCTGTTCTTAGGGCTCTTGTTACCAAATGATGATGCTTCTTCCTTTAGGACATTAAATGTTCTACAGCCCTTCCACTCTGTCCCCTCAACAGAAATTTTGCTCCTCACCCTAGTCTTCTCCCAACTACTACAGTTTTCCCTCTGGTCTTCTGCAGTCTAACCTTCAGTCTACTTTTTTTTTCCTAGTAGTCTTATCACCAAAATCATTTACCTCTCCTTTTGTTCTGGTAACATGACATACATACATCCCTTAAATTCCTACACTCTTTTCCTGTCTGCCCTCATACCCACAGGTTTCTCACCTTTTCTTCCTTTGCTCTTACACAATGTATTATTATACGTTACAATCACTATCCCACGCCACCCACACATAACACTATCCTCCAAACTCACCTTTTCCATGAAGGCTTTGGCAATGACTCTCTGTCAACTGGTCCAGACATCTGGCATCACTAAAACTCAATCCTATGATTATAGGTACTAAGCCTAAGAACATTTAATGATTGCATATTCTTCCCCTATTTACTACTGCCTTGATTTCCCTGTATTTATTCTATGAATTCACCATGACTAAACCACAGCCTGTAAAACCCTTAAAGCAAGAAACTCTACCTTTGTACACATTAATGATGCTATATTAACAAGCAAGAGCACATTTTAAATACACTTAGTTGAAATTCAATTACCACAAATCCATGAACAAAATAATTTTTCAGAAGACTTGCTGTTTCTCAATCTCAGTTATTCCACACTACACTTTATATTTTATTCCCAACTGTGATGTGCACAATTAACTATGTATGTTATCAATCAATGAAAAAGACAGCTTTACCTTTGGGGTTAAAGGCCATCCCCAGCCAAGCTCCTTTGGATTGGGTCTCATAGGCTTGGAGATGCTCCCAAATGAAGACATTCTCCATTTCATCAAGGATGGACAGAACTGTGCCTCCAACTGTAGGGAATGGGAGAGGAGAGAGATGCACCAGCCTGAAAGATCATAAGGCAAAAAAAAGCACACCCTACTCACATGTTTATACTTTCCTGTGAATGACCCTTTGCTGCAACTGAGAAGGCCTGGCTTTATAAAATTTTCAATGACATCTTACCCACAGGAATAAAATGCAATTTTTTTCCCACCAAAATAAAGTGCACTATCTCTCCATATATTTATTTGAACCAGATTTTTCAAAAATCAAACTTCGGATTTCCAAGCAAGCTAAATGTGTGTGTATGTGTGTGGGAGAGAAGAGAGCAAGGATTATAAAACAAGGAAAAGCAATGCATCAAAGATGATAAGCCACAAGAGAAGGACTATCCCTAGTTGTGATTGACAGATGAGCCAACCAACCATCCAGCATCTGAGATTTCACTAGGCACTGTCCACAAAGTCACTTTCTTCAAAGAGAGAGCAGCAGTGGCGGCAGCAGCAATAATCAGAAATCATATTTGTATGGTGCCTTTAAATGGTCCAGGTATGTTGAAGGCACTGTGGCATTTTAAATCATTACTACTCAATGGTCAGGATACCGAGACTCAGGGAGAACAGTCTGCCTCTTTCACATACTGAGCTAATGAACAAGATGGAGTTTGAACTGAGAATTTCCCAAGTTTTTGCTCAGTGTCTTAACTACAACGTCACAGGTACTAAAGCATACTGAAAGCACACATACACACATGCCCAAAGAGTTTCGCAATGTTCCAACTTTTAAATACATAGATCCAGAAGTTGATACATTCTGAGCTCCAAGGACAATTACGGGTGTCTGCAAATACAATCCTGATAATTGTACAAAAATTTCCTAGATATTTTTTCAAAGCCAGAGAGCAGAGCTTTCACCTAAAGGGTTCAAATGGGACAGAACCATCTCTGCCGCACAAAATCAAGCTTCACTGACTGTCATATTGCTGGTGTGATGTATTTTATTTGCTCTCTCATCAACCCTGGCATTGCTGGAAACAACATTTCCTCTAATTTTCTGGAGCGCTGCATGTCGGTTCCACCCCCTGCGCACAGAATTCCAGTCACGACTGGAAGCAAATGAGTGAAAACACTGGCTGGGCTGCATGTGCCCGATGCAGCACTGTGAGCCTGGCACCCACACCACCTTAGAGGGAATGTTGGCTGGAGAAAAAAGAGAGGAGAGCCCCTTTAGCAGAACAGCGTGACCATTATTTGTGAAGGAGATAGGCGCTGGGGCTCAATCTGATTTAGAAGGGTACATCTGGAATAGCTCTGATTTCTAAATTGATGTGCCGTCAGCAGTTTGTGAACTTTGCCCTGCACTTTGCTAATGCATTACAATCTACTCAGACTCTCGACTGGGAAGAAAAAAGCATTTTGAATGCTAATAATGGAATCTGCATATCTGCTTGCTAATTCAATCCCTGAAAAAGAAAAACAAACCCAGCGCCAATGTGTTTTCTTCTGCTTTTAAACACATAGGTCAGGCCACTTCCAGTTCCCTCAGGTACTGAAGATGATACTGCCCTTCACCCCAAATATACTTCTGTTTTGCATACAAGTATACATGTTTGTGTCTATATACATATACATATTCCATACAAAGATGCACACAAAAACTCCAACCTACTTACAACATAGCCAAGGGTTAAAGTCCATCCATATTTTAAGTGAACTACTTTGATTCACATTTCTTGGACTGATACACAAATCAGAATCCTGTTATCCTTCAAGGATCAGAAACATTATCTGTCTTGCACACACATAATACAATACATATGTATACTTAATAGAGTAGCAGACAAAATGGGAAAAATACTATAGAAATATGTTTTGGCTTCTGCCTTCTTCATTTGCTCTAAATAAAACTCTGCCATTTCCAAGGTGGCAGTTCTAGAATCCAGAAGACAAAGTATTCCAAAGTGAATTTATGATGTTATGTGTTGTTTTCTAGGCTTAGGCAGTGAGATGCTGAGGTGCCAAGTCACAAATCCAGATGTTTCCCTGTTTTCTAATTTATTTGGACTTTATGGTGTGTTTGTCCTAAACACCAATAAGCCCAATAGACCATACAGACATACATACACCAATTTATATATAATACAAAGTAATCCCACTTAAACCACTGTCCACAGTCCTAAGTAGAGCAATAAATATGCAAGCGCTCTTATTAATCAAAATCCTCAGATTAAGCCACATTAAACTAATCCACATTAAACCAAACACTACTGTGTACTTTAATTCTGCCGTGTACAGCAGTATAAAAATAAGGAGAAAAAGAAAAGAGAAAGGCACAAAAAAGTGGGGACACAAGAAAACAAATGAAAAGATAAAGAGAGCTGATACAGGCAATCCTTGAAGTCAAATTTGCTGGAAAGCATATTCTAGGGTCAACCCCACGCACAACTGAAGAAAAGCATTAAAAAAACCTTTACCTTTCTGACACCTCTTCAAAGCTTCTTTCTGGGCTAGCATGACCTCCATGTGGAAGGCATAGCAGTGATTCCGGAAGGGGATCCAGGAGGAATCCTCCAAAGACTTAGGGCAGCTCCCATTGTAGCTCCATTTGTGTGTAGAAAGAGGCCCTGGAAGGGAAAAACATGATCAGCAGAAATTTCTGGCCTCTTCATTCAAGCTGATTAGGAGTGAAGACCCTTTTCAGCAATAGCTTTAGAGTTCCCACACAGATACCACACCTGTATTCATCTTGCAGATGGCTCCTTGAAGCTTGGTGTCACAGCTTGCAGTTCTCCATGTCCCATCCACGTCCATGTATGTGCACCCCACAATTTGCTGTGGTTCTCCATCTTGCCAATTTGTATAAGACAGACTCTCCTCTGTGAACCACATGTAGCTCCGTTGACCCTAAAAGTAGCCAATAAAACTAAACATTATTTGGCCTGCTGGACCAGATCAAGTCAGATAGTAAGGGGAGATTCATAAATGGGCATGACACGAGTTGAATGAATATGTTTTAGAAATACAAATGCATATCATATCACCCACCTACACCTAGCATCAAAACATCCCACTGGTGATTCTCCATGCAATGCTTTGGGAGCAGGATCCAGACCAAATGGCTTTCCTAACTCTATCACCATACCCTACAATTCCCATCATTATTCCTATTATTTTGTGAAGAGCTAATATCAAGGAAGAGCTCAGCCTCTCTCAAAAGTATCTGTCTGTGGAGTTTCTGAACCTAGAGCTCAAATTTACCAATGAAAATTGTTCAGCTTTGGCTGAATTGCAAAGATAGCATTTGACACATGAATGTCTCCATGGCCTGAGGTATTCAAAACACCTATCCTTGTTTCGTCAGTTTCCTGCCAGTTTGTTGTCTTCTGTCTCTCATCAGTATCCACCCTGCACCCAGACTAAACAATCCTGAACAGATTAACCTCCAATTAGCAGGTTTATTAGCAGGATATTCTTCATGCCTTTCTGAACATTTTGAATTCAGGTACAGGTTTGGGACAGATCACTAAACCAGGTAACAGGAAATGTAACTAGAAGGATGTTCACATCAGTCAATATCTTAATGATTCTTTCACCATCACCTCTATACCTCACCTGATACATAACATTTTCTACTGGTCTTAATCAAAGACATTTTGCTGCCTGATGCTAAGCTCCAAGACCTGCTGGGGCAAACACTCATAAATGTCTTGCTGTATCGCTGTTTCTTGTTTCCCTCTTCATAAGCGCTGCCTGAAGCAGGTAGCTTCACTACGTCCTTGTTTCACAGCTGCCTCACCTCTTCATTGGACAAGCCAATCCAGAGTGGGGACCACACAGGGCTGATGGCTTGAGTGAGGAAGGCCTGGGTATATGGCTCCATCACATTGGCCAGGCTTGCATTCAAACTCTCACAGAGGAGCACAGCTTCCTGCCATGTGAGTGGCTTCTTCAGAAAGCGGTAAGTGCTGTTGAGATAGGAGAGGGTGGAGTTGGGAGAAGGGGAGAAGGTTGCTGGGGATGGGCTCAGGTTGGGATCTGGGGTTACGGGAGAGTGTGGTGGGGAGAGGAGATGATGAAAGTTCTTTAGTAGTACAGTAACCAAGCCTTGCTGCTTTCCTTTACAGCCGTGCCCCACTTTACAATTGCCCTGCATTACGACGAAACCACATTACGACGACGTTTTTGCGATCGCTTTTGTGATCGCAAACCGATGGTCTGAAGAGGCTTTTTTTTGCTTTGCAAGGATCGGTTCCCTGCTTTGGGAACCCATTCTTCGCAAAACAACAATTTTCCTACAGCTGATCGGCAGTTTCAAAATGGCTGCCAGGTAAATAAAATGGCTCCCCGCTGTTTTCTGGGATGGATTCCTTGCAAGACACCCACCGAAAATGGCCACCTTATGGATCTTCACTGGACGGTGAGTTTTTAGCCCATTGGAACGCATTAAATGGGTTTTAATGTGTTTCAATGGGTTGTTTTATTTTCGCATTACAACGTTTTCATTCTATAGCCATTTCGCTGGAACAAATTAACGTCGTAATGCGAGGCAACACTGTATAGCCATTAACACATGGGTTAGTTTAATTCATAGGTCACTGGAGATCACTCAGATTTCATCTCCCAAAGGTCTTGCTGCCTGCCTACCCCTTTTGTAAAGAAATGACACTCATTTGGAACGGAGGGTGTAAGTCACATTGGCCAGAATCCTACTGATGATTTCTGCTAGAGTATGTGAAATCACAGTGGCAAACTGCCATTGATTAGCAAGGCACTGGTTCTGTTCCTAGATATACAGGCACGCAACCAGCACCTTATAAAAGAGCAGCCAATTCCCCTGGCAACTAATCTGATTTCATTCATGCAAGTGGAATTTGCTCACATGATTGTGGTCAATGACACCTTGGATGATTGCTAGAATGAAACCTAAGGACACCAACTTTTATGTTCCTTAGACCAGAAACAACTGCTAGACAGCTTTCCCAGTTATGCTTTTAAACTGTAACAACCAAAAAGTCTCAGGCCAGTGCTGGAAATGCTAGCTTGGGAATTGTGGGAGTCATAGTCCAAAAAAGTAACTTTTCCAACCTCTGATCTCCCCAACAACATTACCTTTGCTCTTCTGACAAATGAAGGCATGTTTTTCCTCTAGGCAGTTCCTATCGTCCCAGCGGCCAGTAAACAGGGACGGGAAGCCATGCCAAACTACGGCACAGTTGGTCTGAGAAAGGAGGAAACAGCACAATCAAAATCATTCTTCTGAGTGCACACTGCAAAGACAGCCTAGGATGTTATCTGGAGGTCTCTCCTCTCTCTCTGCCTCCTTCCATCCGTTTATCCAACTGGGCTCCCTCCAAACCACTATCTTGAAGCTAGGCAATTCATTAACTAGCAATAGAACTTCCCCATTCATAAACTGGTAATCTTTAGTTTACCAGATACTAGGGAAGAAGAAGATATAACTGTTAACATGCTGCTCATTTTTAGAGTTTCACTGAGACATCTCTATAGCCTTTATCATAGACAGATAGCTGCGCTTTCATATAACTTTTAGTTTAACAGTGTAACAACTGTAACCTTCTTACGAAGACATGTAAAAACAAACACATAAAAACAGAACACAACACTCATTTTCTCTTAGGAGTGTGGGGGGGGGAGATAATTCTGCAACCGTGATACATTAGGGGTAGTATCCTGTTGCCAGTTCTAGCTAAGGATAGATCCAATGAATGGAGTTCTAAATTGATTATTTTCCTCATTGAAGCTGAGGTTTCACAAGCTATTACTCAGATTCAGTTCTGTGTCTGAAAAAGAGTGGTGACTTTTCTTTCTTTCTTTTTTTAATGAATGCTAAGATTCTCTGAAAGCAATGTTTCTTGGTAAACAGGTTTTGTACCCTTCTGTAGAATATACATATTCCCAATGCAAGGACACCCAGAGCCACTTTCTTATTCCAATGTGAACACAAGATGGCAAAAGGACATTTGTTCCTAAGTGCTCGTACATTTGCCAGCCAGTTAGTCAAAAGCTGACAATGGTCTACAAGGCATCCAAAGAGAAAGGTCTCTGAAGCCCAATCAAAAATACAATTCCTTCCCAGACAGAACTAACTGCAGGGGAAAAAAAAGTGGGGCTGGGGAGGCAGTGTTGGCCAAAAGATTTTCCGGACTGAGGCAAATGTCAAAATGATGCCCCTTTCATCTCAGTACCACAGGATCTAGAAGCACAGCCTAGGATGTTATCTGGAGGTCTCTCTTCTCTTTCTCTCGCTCTCTCTGCCTCCTTCCATCCGTTTATCCAACTGGGCTCCCTCCAAACCACTATCTTGAAGCTAGGCAATTCATTAACTAGCAATAGAACTTCCCCATTCATAAACTGGTAATCTTTAGTTTACCAGATACTAGGGAAGAAGAAGATATAACTGTTAACATGCTGCTCATGTACCACAGTATCTAGAAGTTGTAGCAAAATGTTTGGAAGCTACATTTCTGGTGAACCTGGCAGGAATAAGTAAGCAATGTATACCCTAATACCTAGATGAACTTTGAAGGGTCATGATTATCTGGTTGACGTTGGTATTCAACCCTTTCAGGGATCAATGATCCCTGGTGGGCAATCATAGACTCAAGCTACCAAGGCAATGGTCCCCAACCTTGGGCCTCCAGATGTTCTTGGACTACAACTCCCAGAAGCCTTCACCACCACCTTGGCTAGCCAAGATTTCTGGCAGTTGAAGTCTAAGAACATCTGGAGGCCCAAGGTTGGGGACCACTGTACCGAGGGGTGTTCTGCAGTGCTCTGAGGCTTTGTTCGGGTGTCATAATGCTGACCTTGATAGCCTGAACTTTGAAGGGTCATGATTATCTGGTTCACGTTGGTATTTAACCCTTTCAGGGATCAATGAACCTACCTATGGTGGCCCATCATAGACTCAAGCTACCAAGGGGTGTTCTGCAGTGCTCTGAGGCTTCGTTCATAATGCTGACCTAGATAGCTTAGCCTAGAGAGATGCAGGGCTGATTGCATGTCTCACAGAGTTCTCTCCTTCAAAAACTGCTGCTTGTTGCTCTCCTGGATCTGCTGCTTGAAGCACCTGCCTCACTCTGCCTAAGAATAATCACAGCTTGGAAATGTTTTCGACTACAACTCCCAGAACCTCCCAGCCAGCATAGATGCTAGCCATGCTGAGTGGCAGATTCTGGGAGCTGTAGTCCGACAAAGTTATTTTTCCAACCTCTGGCCTGGGTGGCAGAAGCACAAGAATTTGGCTTACCGGGTGGTCACTAGCAGAGGAAGTTCTATATCCGGATGGCTCACCAGGTGCCCAGTTGACATATTTGACAGGCTCAGACTCCACCCAGCCAAAATCCTTCTTAGCATCATGGAGGCCAATCCACAAGTCAAAGGTCACATTGGGAAGAAGAGCTGTTATAAAAGCTATTGAAATGAGGCAAGAAAACAAAGTATATTTGGTACATTATTGGAAAACTAAGAGGGGTTAGTGCAGTTTTGGTTTCATAAATGGGATTAAAAAGCTGAACTCTAGTTTTCCTATCAAATGGAAATAGATATTTTTCCAGGCTTGCCTCTTGCCCTCTCAGTGCCTCGTTTCAGAGGACAGATACAGACTTCATTTACTCAGTGGGTGAGGGAAATGCATTCCAAACATTCTCAGAGTCAATGACAATGTATATCTTACTTTTAAAAAAAAGTCTGGAAAACAAAATTAAGTAGGAAAAAATGGGCTGTTGGACCAGACCACTCCAGTATTCAGATCATTTAATCCAGTATTCAGAACATTCCTAGAGATGAGACAGACAAGCCTGCCTGTGGTCACAAGTCACAATGATCAGAAGTAGAGACGGGTACAAATCAGAAAAATGTTGATTTGTTTTTATTAATGATTCATCAGAGACGGGTACAAATCAGAAAAATGTTGATGAATAAATCATTATGAATGTACATTTTTTTTTACATTTTTTTCTGATGAATTGACAAATCAATGTGTCAATTCATTTTTTACTTTAAAATCCTAGAAAATGGCCTCTTTTTTACTTTAAAATCCTATAAAATGGCCTCCCAAGGACCTAGAGACATCAAATTCACAGAGAAGCTTCCCTGATTTTAATCTACAACCCTGCAGGTTTGGTGAGATTTGCATTTCGGACACCCAAGTTATACACTCACAAGGGAGGGGGCACAGGAAAATCCCCCCTCGGGCAACTAGAGACACTAAAATTACAGAAAAGCTTCTACTGCAGCCTTGACCATCACTTGTTTAATTCCCATTGCAGGTTTCTATGTAATGCAAGGACCCCCTTGGATAAGCTTTACCTTGCTCAAGGTGATTGGAGATGGTAGCCAACAGGCCCCCCTGAATCTCACACTTGCGTTTTGCTTCTTGCCATGTCACCTGCTCTTGGCTGTAAATCCTAAAGCACTACACAGTGTCCAGAGACAGAAAGAAAAATGAAACAGCGAGATATAAGGCAGGCTATTCTTTTTTACTCATTAATTTTTCTCTTCTTTACTAATTTAGTTTCATCTCCAAAAAAGCTCAAGGTGGTTTCCCCTTCCTAGAATAATCTTACTAGTTAAGATAGGCTGAGATATCATGACCGGCTGAGTATCATCTTGAATCCAGGCTTCATCAGACCTAATCTGACACTCTACCCATTGCACCATACTGCCTTTCAAACATATACTCCCATGGACTGAAAACTAGGAAGGGGCAGATTTTTCTCTGCCTCCCTATCCACATTTCTCCAATAAGACTGAAAAATTTGGCTTCCTGCTTTACCCTTGTGGAGCAACTATATTTTTACTCCTTATTACATTCTACAGAACTGCTGGCCTGACTTTTTTATTTGTTAAATTTCTTTAACCTCCTCTTTATCAATATATCTCGGAGTGTGGTGAAATCAATATAATCACATTGAAAGAATTTGAAGTAACTTAGATTCTTCACAACTATTTAAAACATTAGAAAACACTTTTAAATGATGTAACAACTATGTATTTTAAAAAAAGCTTTCCCTTCTCTCACCCTTCTAGTGGAAAGGGGACCCATAGACATCTATTCCCAACCAAGGATTATACAGTGGTGGACTAGAAATAGCACAACAAGTACCTTATTACTGAGGGTATGCCAACCCTGGGTACAGCTACCAGGAGTCGGCATCGGCAGTGGAGGCACAGAAGGCCACACTGTGGTTTTGTTAGTACGCTTGCAGATGTAAGGCAGGGCAGTAAGACATTTCTGATCACCCCAGTCCTCTGCAGAAGACAGAAAACAAGGGGAGTGAGCGAATTTCATAATGACATTGTCCAAGAGACACAAAACCTAGTCTGGAGTCTTCTGTCTACATTCCATCAACTAGTAAGTAAGTAAGTAAGTAAGTAAGTAAGTAAGTAAGTAAGTAAGTAAGTAAGTAAGTAAGTAAGTAAGTAAGGAAGGAAGGAAGGAAGGAAGGAAGGAAGGAAGGAAGGAAGGAAGGAAGGAAAGAAGGAAGGAAAGAAGGAAGGAAG